GTATCAAGGAGGTCAATCAAAGGCTTAGAAGATGGTGTCATCACATGGGTTTTGGATACCTCAACCTTGATACGCAGTTTAACTAGAGCAGCCTCCATGCAAGAGATGGTATTCATCTCACGAGCAGAGGGAAGAAGCTTTTTACCGCAAGAGTTGCCGACTTGCTGAGGAGGGCTTTAAACTAGCGTCCGGGGGCCGGGGAGAAGATTCCGCTGCTGAAACAGAATCCACTAGCCACAATGATACACAGAAGGGTGTTCAAACAATGGATGTCCAGATGTATACTGACATCTTGAGACACAGACAATGTAACAGAAAACCAGAGGTGGCTAGGGGAGAGCTCAGATGCCTTTATGGGAACACCACAAGCATGGGAAATAAACGGGAGGAACTGGCACTCCTTCTGGCTGATGAGGAATTTGATTTGATTGGGTTGATGGAGACCTGGTGGGACAATACACATGACTGGGCAGTGAATATTGAGGATTACAGGCTTTATAGGAAGAGTCAGATTGGGAAGATGGGAGGAGGTGTGGCTGTCTATGTGAAAGAGCAGTACCCCTCCCTACAGGTCAAGTTTGACAGCAGGGAAGGGTCCCTTGAGATCCTGTTGATCAGGCTACAAGGGGGACCAGGAGAGGGACATTTGATGGTGGGAGTCTACTACATGCCTCCCTCCCAAGAGGAAGAGAGCGATCGAGCATTCTCAGGAGAATTGACAGAGGCAGCTAGTGCTAGAGAAATGATCATCATGGATGACTTTAACTACCCAGACATCTGTTGGGAAGACCATTTAGCCACCTCCAACAGCTCAGCCAACTTCCTGGCAACAATAGATGATCTGTTTCTGACATAGGTTGTGGAAGGGCCTACTAGGGGCAAGGTGACTCTGGATTTAGTGCTGACCAAAGGGGAGGACATCATAGGCGAATTTAGGATTGGTGGTACTCTGGGCGACAGTGGCCATGACCTGATAAGGTTTACCATCCACTGTAAGACTGGGAAGTTAGTCACCAGAACAGAAGTCCTAAATTTCAAGAAGGCAGATTTTGGCAAACTCAAGAGGCTTGTTGGAGAGGCCCTCTACAAACAGCAACTGGATGATTTGGGAGTGCAGGAATGATGGTGCTTCCTTAAGGAGGCAATTCTCATGGCTCAAAAACAGGCCATCCCCACATGGGCAAAAGGCAAGAAAGAAGCCAGGAGACCCACTTGACTCACCAGGGATATTAGAGAGCTATTGAAAAAGAAAAAAACAAGCACATATACAATGGAGGAATGGCTCCACAACCAAGGAGGAATACACCTGTATTGCCAGGGCCTGCAGATATGAGACAGAAAGCAAAGGCAGGCATGGAGATCAAATTGGCAACCAATATAAAAGAACAAAAAATCCTTCTACCGATACATAGGGAGCAAGAAAAAATCAGGCTTCACTATTGGACTCCTACTGAATACCCAGAGGCAGCCCACAGTCGATGCCCATGAAAAGACAGAACTCCTAAATACATAATCCAATGGGGGCTGCTCACCTGACCAGAGACCCAGGGAACAGGGGGAAGGCAACAGCCTACATGAAATCAGCCCAGAACAGGTGAGGGATCTTCTACAATGCTTGGACATTTTCAAGTCTGCTGGGCCAGAAAACCTGAACCTGAGAATCCTGAAAGAACTGGCCAAACTTATAACAGCACCACTGGCCAAGCTGTTTGAAGAGTCATGGAACTTGGGAGTGGTCCTGGATGACAGGAAGAGGGCCAATTTGGTGCCCATCTTTAAGAAAGGGAAGACGGATGACCCCCCCCCAAACTACAGACTGGTCAGTCGGACCTCGGTCCTAGGTAAAATCTTAGAAAAGTTGGTTAAGGAGGTCATCAGCTACAAGCTGGTAATGGATGGGGTGCTAAAAAGCAACCAGCATGGCTTTGTCAAGGGTAGATCATGCCTGTTGAACCTTGTGTCCTTCTACGACCAGGTCACTAACCATCTGGATGAGGGACATGAGGTTGACGTCATTTACTTAGACTTCAGTAAAGCCTCTGACTCTGTCTCCCATGGGATTCTCTCTAACAAACTGGAGAGTACTGGGCTTTACCAGTCTACAGTGAAGTGGGTGCACAACTGGCTTAGAGGCCACTCCCAGAGAGTGATGCTCGATGGGATGG